AACAGACCTCAGAGGTGAAGAGTTTTGGCTCCAGTCTGCCCAGGCCCACTTAAGCTCTGGTTACCAGGCCTGCTGCCTCCTAAGAGAAAACCACAGCCCCACCCAACCCCACCAGCCCAAGAGTGGAGGAAGTGGGGTCCCCAGAATCAGCTGCTGGTGAGCACTTTGCTGAGAGCTGCCAGACAAATGGCAGTTGTCTCAAACCAGAGTGTTGGGCCTACGTCAGAGGCTCCGGATCCTGCTTCTCAAACCTAAGTGGGTACTCATGCTTCTGAGCAAGCCCATGAAACAGGAAGGGCAGACTTGATTCTTTTCACTTTACAGATGAGAAAACATTTTTTTCCTAAAAGAAAAAAAAAAATCAAAGACTTGTCTAGGTCACTCAACTAGAAAGTAGACATAACTTGAAAGCTGGCCTCGCCACTGTCCGCTCTCGAGAGCTGGACAGTGTTATTCATCTTCACGTTCAATCGGCAAAGGCACTGGACACTGCCCACCCGCCAGGGCCTATGCTCTGTGGGAACCAAAATCATACACAGCTAACAGAGAAAATGGATATGGAGACTTCATGAAGACCCTACCTGATTCACAGTCAGAGAGGACACTGCTGTAATGGCAGATAAGCAAAACGCAGGCATTCACCTAGACCAAAGAGTCTTAAGACACTGGTCTACGCAGCTTCCTGGGACTCTGATGACAAGCCGAGACTGGGACCACTGTTGGAGACCACCATCACCTCTCCCTCCATTCCACAGGTGGGAAAACAGAGGCCCTGAAAAATGAGGAAATATGCCTAAGGATAGTGAGGCAGAAGAACCTGAGTTCTCACCACCTTGACCAGTGTCTACTGGTCCTGCTGGAAATTACCAGAGACCCTGCAAGTAGCAAAGCACAAAAGCAAGACCCACAGCTCTTTCAAGCTCATTTCAAGGTTACCTGAAGGGGGAAATGCAATTAATAGAGGGTTTCTACTACACCCTTCTACAGGCCAGAGAACCATCTCAGCCCCATGCTCAATCTTGTTCCCATTGGAAGTCCCCCCTTCAGTTACCTCGCCAATCCTTTCCCCCAAAGTCCCACAAAGGAAAGGGGGAGGACAAGACCTGTTAGGGGCACCTCTACCTGTTCCTGCTTCTAGAAAAGCTCCTCTACTAGCCACATCCAGGTAGGGGATGGGGTGTGCAAACTGTCCAAGGTCTGAAAAGCCAGGGCAGTGTGGGGGAGCCAAAGCCTGCTTCCCCTCCCATGGGCATTATTATCCCTCTCTAAAGGCCACCAGGATCCAGTGGTGGAAAGCAGGCATCATCACCCCTGTTCACAGCCCCTAGCCCCAGGCTGGGACCCGAACACGTGCTGAATAAGAATCTCTGTCTCACACCTGTAATCCTAGCACTCTGGGAAGCTGAGGCAGGAGGATCACTTGAGCTCAGGAGTTCAAGACCAGCCTGAGCAAGAGTCAGACTCCATCTCTACTAAAAATAGAAAAAATTAGCCAGGTGTCATGGTGCATGCCTGTAGTCCCAGCTCCTCAGGAGACTGAGACAGAAGGATCGCTTGAGCCCAGGAGTTTGAGGTTGCAGTGAGCTGGGATGATGCCACTGCACTCTAGCTGGGGTGACAGAGCAAGACTGTCTCAAAAAAAAAAAAAAAGACTCTCTGTCCAGCAACTCACTAGTCTTCAGGCTCACAGATGAATGAATGGAAATAAATAAATGAGCAAAAGACCCAAGTAACTTGTCCAGAGGACCCAGAAGCACACTGCCTTTACAGACCACCTCTTACTACCCCAACAAGCATTCTTGTTTACCACACCCCTGCCCTTCAAGATGACTGTGGTACCTCGATCCATCTTTAACCTAAACAGTGCTTCTTTGACTAATTCATGATCAATGTTCCTTATGACACTAGGACCCAGAACTTGGTAAGAAGTCACGAAGGAAGGCACCACGGTAGCAGATGTTAGGCTTAGTGCTGTTCACTACATGTTTCTGATCCTCATCCCCTCCCCAGCTGTGGGTAAATATGGCCATGTGACTTGCTTCAGTCAATGAAACGCCACTTCCAGGTGAAAGCTATAAGAGCCAAGGTAAGATTCATCGTGCTCTCTGCCTCTCTCTCCAAGAGGCCAGGGATGTTCCAATTGCAGCGAGGACAACATAAAACAGATATGTGATACATACACAGTGTGAACGAGAAATAAACCTTTACTGCTTTAAGCCTCTGAGATTTGGGGATTGTTATTATCACAGCAAACCCTGATCTATCCAGACAGATACAGACAGTGATTCCCCAGTCTTCTATGCAGGGCAGTGCCAGTCTTCCCATTTCCTGGCCATAGGGAGAAAGAAGCTACATTACCAATCAGCAGAGGCTGAGGGGCACCTGCTATGGACCCAGGATGTGCTAGACAGATGAGATGTTTCAGAAGCAGGGATATAAAGGACTCATTAGTTCCACTGTGGACCAGGCTTGTTTGGTATATTAATCAATTTTAATCACCTCTGAAAGCAAGGCATGTCCAAATTAGAAATGAGAAAACCCAGCTCATAATGAAACCTCAAGCAAGTGATCTATCTGGACCACAATTTCCTCACCTGTAAAATGGGGCTGTTAGTATCATCTACCACACTGGATTGTTTCAAGGATTAAACAAGTTAATGTAAGTAAACTTCTAGGATCATCCTTGGTGTAAGTCTCAATAAACAGCCTGAAAAAAATCACCGTTACTATCTCTATGAAACCCTCCAGAGTTGCTGTAAGCTTGTCCATAAGCTTCACTAGATTTTAAACAAGCAAAGGCTCCCCATGACTGGCACAATGGTACTTCGTAGGCACTGCCAAAATGAATTCTACCTCAGCTGAAGTTAAACAAGTAACAGGTCAAATCCCTGAGCATGTGGTGGCCTACAGTGAGGCCTCAGGAAATGATTCCAGGATCCAGGGCTTTCCTGCCCCCTGCCCTCCGTGGGGAAGTCACTTCACTACCACCACAACCTGCCCGGCAGGGCCATCCCCCGTCCCACGCAAGGCATGAGTTTCATCCTCCCACTTCCCACATGGGAAGGAGGTGCCTTCACCTGTCCTCAGAGACCAGGACAGGTGCCCAGCTGGTAAAGGGAGAAACTTTCCTGTGCAACCAACCATTCTGCAGCCCCCTCCTCCATGCCCTTTCTTCCTGGAGGCAGCCACAAACCTCCAGAAGCAGCAGTGGGCTCGGACTCCTGTCTGCCCAAATGATGCTATGCTGAGATCAAACTCAGGTCAATAAACACTGCCGAGCACCTGGTCCATGTCCAGCTGGAGTTGTAAAACAACACACAGTTTACAGCCTGTCAGGGAGTAGTGAGCCTTGGAATAACACCTCCAATAGTGCCTGGAGCCCCACCGACTCTCAATCAGGCTTTGTTAAATAAACTGAAGATCACTTTAGGTGGTCCAAGCAGTGGAGTTCAGAGATAAGGAGGTCGGATACATCAAGAAAGTCTCCAACTGAAGTTGAGGTACAACACAATGAGAGGGAAGGGGAAAATCCATTTGGCGACCTGGGTTTGCAGGCCTGTCACTCAAACATTAGGGATCCTCAGAATGGAACACAAAGCTTGGGGACAGCTGAGGGAAGGGCCAGGAGGGCATATGCGGCTATGATGGAGGAGTCTAGGCTTCATCCTGAGGGTGCCAGGGTCCAGGAGGATACCTGAACGGTTGCCTCCACCAACGCCGGGTGCGCTGAATGTGGAGAGGACATAGGGGTGCAATGATGGCCTGCTCCCCCGGTTGCCCTTTACAAACAGGGAAGGGCGGCCCACGCACTCTGCAGACACTAACTGCTCCCAGGTCACGGTAAAGGTGCAGGTGGAAGGCTCCTTTTTGAGGATTTGGCAGGCAGCTGACCCACTTCCACTAGCCTAAGGGCAACCTCCATCTCCGAAGGGAGGAACAACCCCTAGAGAGCAGACCACAGCCAAGAGCACACCTGCAGGGGCTCCAATTCAATGCCCTGCACTACTGCCCAAGACTTGACCTCCCACATACCAGCGCCCAGGGACAACCACCGAGCGTCTACACAGCCGCATTCACCATCACGCGGCGGCCAGTGCCAAGCCAGTACCGTGGCGGACGACTCCCCCAAGCAGGGACCTCTTCTTGCCGGAGACACGTGTCCTACTGGTCCTGGGGCCAAAGTCCCTCTACACATACAAACACCTCCCACCCGTCCGCATTCCCACCAGTGAGAGCAGGAGGCAGGGGGAGAAGCAGCTGCCTGGAACAAGCTAACTCCGTAGCCTCTTTCCCAACTCGGCTAGGGTAGGTCAGGGGTCGGGGTTTGCTCCCAAGCACAACCCTGCACGATCAACACTGAGAAGCTGGGTCACCACCTACTCAAACTCCGGCCGCCCCAAACCGGTGTGGGGCAGAGTGGCACGCACCGAGGGGTGGGCGACTTGCAGCACACCCACAGCGGGGGCGGGGGGAGGGGCGGCCCTCCCTGACCTACGCCCGCCCCGACCCCAGACCTGAACTGCGGGGGACCGAGAGTTCCAGATGGAGCCGAAAGCAGCGCCCATCCCCGAACTCGAAGCTGGCGACAAGGGGCAGAGCCCCACGCGGCGGCGGCAGCCCAGCAGCTCCCTCCGCGGGCGCTCTCACCCCTCCCGGCCCCGGCGCGCACTCGCCCGGGCACGCGGATGGGGCGAGGGCCACGGAACCGGGAGCGCTAGTTCGGTCGCCCGCCGCGGCTCCCATTCCGCCCGGCGCCCGAGTTCGGCTCAGTGGGGTCCCGGCCGAGGCCTTGCATCTCTCGCGGGCGATCCTCGCAGACAAAGCCAGCGCCGCCCGCGGGGCCGCCCCGGGGCAGGCGGAGAGGGAGTCTGAGAGGCCGAGCGGGGACCTGGGGAGCAGTCCCCTCCCCAGAGGACGCTCGTGGGGGCGGCGGGGGGCGGCCTCAGACAAAGAGTGGGGCAGGGCCCGACGCGCCAGCAGGGGCTCCGCGCTCTACTCACCCAGGCGCGGCGCCGTCCGCGCAGCCCGGCTCGCCGAGGAAGTTAGAACAAGTTCGGCGGCGCCGGGCGGGAGGGCGCGACTCGGGCCGTCCGAGCGGCGGAGGCGGAGGCGGGGCGCGGAGGGGCGGGGCCGGGGGCGCGGCGCCTGCCGGCTGCGGAGGAAGGGGCGCCACTTCCCTGCGCCGCCCGGCGCGGCCCCGCGCGCCTGGGCCCGCCCCGGCCCCGCCCCCGCCCGCCCCGCGTCGTGGCTCGCGCGGCACCCGGGGCGGGGAAACCGGTTGCCGGCCAGCCCTTTTGTCCCGCTTCGGGCGGCTCCGAGGACTGGGGGCGGCCCCGGTCCGCGCCCTCTCAGTGGGCGCGCGGCAGGCCCATCCTGGACCCGAGCCGGGCACTTGTGGCGGCCGCGACCGCTCTGAGGAGATGCGCTGCCCGGCCTGGAGAAGCGCAGGCTGTGGGAGGCCGCGTCTCGAGGGATACACCGGGTGACCGGAGAGAGGTGGGCGGAGGATTGGGGAAAATGGCTGTATCGAAGACAGGAGGCGTTCCCGCCGGGCCTTGGAGGCTAGGGGTGGGAGTAGTCTTGAAGAGGAGAGTAAATGAAGATTTTTATTTCCTTGCAAACCGAGCAGCAAGGACACGCTGCTCCTTCTAGCCTTGATGCTAAAAATACCAAGCTTTCTTTGGATCGCCTGCTGAGATTTGTTCCTCACCTTCATGTTAAGGAGATGGGACGATTGGGGGCGGTGGGTAGGGGGAACAGCCGGGGTGGAGGGGTAGCCACAGGCTGGCCCTGTTGGTTCCGGTGATAAAAAGGCTGACCTCCCTAGCCTCAGCCTGCCTACCTGCAGAAGGAAGAACACTGCTATTTCTTAAACTCGTTCAGGTGGCGGAGGGCCAGGTGGTCTGCTCTGCTGGGCAATAACAAACAGGGAGCTCTTAACACTAGGCTCAGAGACTGGCTGCACCACGTTCTAGTACAAGCAACCAACAGTTTAAGTCCAATGTAAGGAGGAAATCTTGAAATGGAGACTGTTCAGTCCATTCACTGTTTTGTTTTGTTTTGTTTTGTTTTACTAAGGGGGATACAGCCTGTCTGTGACACCCAAGGCAGCTCAGGGAGCTAGCTCCCTGGGAACCTGTCCCTTCACTCACCCTTCCGCAGACAGCGAGTGCTTGATGGAGTGCCTGATCTGTGCCAGGCCCAGTTTCCATGCCGGGGATGCAGCAGCTGGCAAGCCATCTGAAGCCTCTTGCCCCATAGAGCTTATTTTTAGTGGAGAAAAATAAATAATGGCAAGTCAAAGTAAAGGCTGGAACAGAAAGAAGGACTACAATAGAGAATAAGAGCTACTTTAAATGGAGCAGTCAGGGAAAGGGTCTTGGAGAAGGTGATGTTGAAATTGAAGACAAAAGAACGAGGAGTTAACCTTGGAAACAAGTTGGGCAGAGACATTCCACATTCAGAGCAGTAGGTGCCAAGGCCTTGAAAAGGATCAGCTCTACCAGCCTGAGCAAGAGCGAGACCCCCGTTTCTACTATAAATAGAAAGAAATTAGCCAAACAACTAAAAATAGGAAAAATTAGCCAGGCACGATGGTGTGTGCCTGTAGTCCCAGCTACCCGGGAGGCTGAGGCAGGAGGATCGCTTGAGCCCAGGAGTTTGAGGTTGCTGAGAGCTAGGCTGACGCCACGGCACTCTAGCCCAGGCAAGAGAGTAAGACTCTGTCTCAAAAAAAAAAAAGAAAAGGATCGGCTCTGGATGTGTCCAAGAGCTGAAAGAAAATCAGTGTAGCTGAAGTATCAAGCCCAGGAAAGAGACCCAGGATGAAGTGGGAAGGTGTGCAGGGCTCGTGGGCTGTGTTGAGGAATGGAGGCTTTTTGTTGCGCCATTAAAGGGTTTTATGCAGAAGACTAACATGTTCTGATTTAGTGCTGTGTGAAGAACACATTGCTGTGTGTAGGTGTCAGGCAAAAATAAAAGCAGGGAGCCAATTAGACTGTTGCCACAGTCCAGGCCGAAGACGACGGTGGTTTCAACTAAAGTGGTAGCCATGCTAAAATAAGTAGTTGGGAGATGCTATTTTGGTTTTGACATGGACTTGACAGGGCACAGGGACAGGATGGACATAAGGGGAGGAAAGGGAGAAACCGAAGACAACTTTCAAGATTCCGCTGGAGTAAATGCGTGGACAGTGCCTCCTTTGTTGGATAGAAAGGGACCACATCTGAGCAGGGAATATCCAGAGCTCTGTTCTAGCCACGTGGAGTTTGAGATGCCTGTCAGAGATCCAGGGCGGCTGTCCAGTCAAGGAGCTCAGAAGAGAGGTCTGGGCTGGGGAGGGGGGTGGAGTTGGGAGGCATCAGTTTAAAGACGGTAAAGGCCATGGGATCTGAGAAGGACCTAGGGTGAAGGGGTCGATGCAGGCGAGGAGGTGGTTTAGAAGGGACCCAGGAGAGTCAGACAAGGAGCCAGAGCAGGCAAGAGGACTAAAAAGAAGCCAGGAAAGCAGGAGGAGAATGGGGAGAGTGCCGGATCCCAGAGGCTGAAAAAGTAAAGTGTTTCCAGACAGGAGCTGTCAACTGTGTTAGATGCTACGTAGAGATCAGGTGAGATGAGGACAGGAAAGGGCCCATTGGCTCTGGCAACATGAAGGTGGTTGGCAAACATAAGGACAGTGTTCCTGGAGTAGTGGAGTGGAAGCCAGACCATGGTAGAGCTACTATGTTTGCACAACTTGTGTAACAAGGAACAGAGAACTGGGAGGGATCTAGAAAGGGGTGTGGAAGTGTAGGATGCTTTGGTATAGGTCGCTATTAATAGATGACCCTAATAGCCGTTCTCTCTCTTTTCCTTCCATGATAGAATTTCCAAGTCTACCAGCCACATGGCTTCCCAGAATAAAGGCAAGTTTCTCAGCTTCCCTTGGAACTACATATGGTCATGTGACTTCATTCCACTCAATAGGAAGTAAGAGAGGTGTTCATGTGCAAATTCTAAACTGGCTTTAAAGGGAAGTAATGTGCTTTCCTCAGCCTTTACTCTTTTCTGTTCTCTGGAATATATTGATACAAAGCTGGAGCTCAAGCAGCCGTATTGGATCTTAAGTGGAAGCCATGTGTCAAGGATGTTAAGGGAAGCAGTTAGACTAAATGTGGGTCCCTAATGCTTAGAGAGCCACCATTCCTGCTCTGGACCACCTACCTCTTGGCTTTGTATATAAAAGAAAGAAATTTCTGTTTTGTTTAATCCTCTGTTTTCTGGTGCTTGTAGCCATATCTAACTGACTTTTATTAGAATACAGAGGGGTTTGTTAAAATATGGGTGTTACTCTCTGTGCCTCTACTCCATATTTTAAAAAAGAAAAAGGCCGGGCGTGGTTGCTCACGCCTGTAATCCTAGCACTCCGGGAGGCCGAGGAGGGCGGATTGTTTGAGCTCAAGAGTTTGAAACCAGCCTGAGCAAGAGCGAGACCCCGTCTCTACTAAAAATGGAAAGAAATTAATCGGACAACTAAAAATATATAGAAAAAATTAGCCGGGCATGGTGGCACATGCCTGTAGTCCCAGCTACTCGGGAGGCTGAGGCAGGAGGATCGCTTGAGCCCAGGAGTTTGAGGTTGCTGTGAGCTAGGCTGACGCCCCGGCACTCTAGCCTGGGCAACACAGACTCTGTCTCAAAAAAAAAAAAAAAAAGGAAAAAAAAAATATGGGCGTTACTAGAGCAGGTTTGCACAGTGCTGGGAATGATCCAGGAGAGAAGGTGGGACATGGGCACTAAGGGAAAGGTCACCTCTGATTGAGGGATACCTCTGTCATTATGAAGGAGAGGGATGTGGAGGCAGAGATGTTTCTGGTGAAGGTTGGGGTTGGGAAGATGATCATTCACACCTGGTGATTTCTGCTTAATCCTGAAGAAGGTGGTGAGTGTGGAACAAGGAGGAAGGAGAGAGGTGAGGCCAGCCGTGTGAACCATGGACTTGGTGGTGGAGATCCTGCTGGCCTGAGCAGCCTCTGGGAGACATTTCTTTTCTGGACCAGTTGGCTGCAGGATGTGAAGAGGGTGGGGGCAATGGCCACAAAGCCAGCATGGCCTTCCACGCTACCCCCCAGCAAGCCTCACTTCACGGTCACTTCTGACACTGCCTGCCATTCCCAGCTAATGTACGAGACCCACTAATCCTTGCCTGAACGTTTCTTACAGCAACATGGAATAGCTTCAGAGAGCAACAGGGATATTCAATGCAGAACCAGGCCCATTTTACTTTCCTTTATTGCGGAATAAAAAGAACTGGGATATGGACAGCCCCAAGTCATACAAGAGCTATATTATAACCAGTGATTTACTTTCCAGGCTAGCCCCTAGAACCATAATTGCCAAGAATGTAGCTGAATTATAGTGCAGACTGCAAGCCTGAAGTATGGACTGTGGGAACAAAAAACGGTACAGGAGGGAGGAAAAGAAAGAAGCTGAGAGTTGCTTCTCTTTTTCCTGGACCTGTAGCTGCTGTAAATAAAATTTAAAGTGAAAGAGCTTGGCTTTTGTCCTCTGACTTCCTCCATAGCCCTGTCCCCGTCCCTGTGCTACTGTGCTCACCCTGGGCTCCACTCTGCAGCACCTGTGTGTGTGGACATGCCAGGGGGCAGCTAGGGGGAGCTTGAACAGAAGAGGGATTTGGTGTCTGAGTTCTACTAATTCTCACCATCTTGATCTTGAGCAAACCACTTTACATCTCTGAGCCCTGGTGTTCTTTCCTGTAAAGTCAAGGTAATAGTAAAACCCACCTCACATGTTTAAAGTAAAAATCAAAGGAGATAAAGTTTGTAAAACTTTGAAAAACACTGAGTAATCTATAAAGAAATCTGTTATCAGAGAAAGATGTCTTACTAGGACCAGACTGTCAAGGCTCTTCACAATAGTCAGGACATTTTGGTTGAAAATGAGAGAACTCCACTCAAACTAGCTTAGGCCAATGGTCAGGGGAAATTACTGGAAGGATACTCAAGTCACTCACAAAATCGAAAGAACCTGAAATCAGAGCGACTCTGGAAACAGTGTTGATCCTGGCAGTTTCCCA